AAAAAAAAAAAAAGGTTCTAAAGAACCTAGGGGCAGGACAGGAATAAAGACGCAGACATAGAGAATGGACTTGAGGACACGGAGGGGGAAGGGTAAGCTGGGACGAAGTGAAAGAGTGGCATGGACTCATATATACTACCAAGTGTGAAATAGATAGCTAGTGGGAAGCAGCTGCATAGCACAGGGAGATCAGCTCCGTGCTTTGTGTCCACCTAGAGGGGTGGGATAGGGAGAGTGGGAGGGAGACGCAAGAGGGAGGAGATATGGGGATATATGTATATGTATAGCTGATTCACTTTGTTACAAAGCAGAAACTAACACACCCTTGTAAAGCAATTATACTCCAATAAAGATGTTCAAAAAGAAACTGTCAGAGATCTTGATTTTTTTTTTTTTTTTGCGGTACGCGGGCCTCTCACTGTTGTGGCCTCTCCCGTTGCGGAGCACAGGCTCCGGACGCGCAGGCTTAGCGTCCTTGGCTCCGCGGCATGTGGGATATTCCCGGGCCGGGGCACGAACCCGTGTCCCCTTTATCTGCAGGCGGACTCTCAACCACTGCACCACCAGGGAAGCCTGATCATTTCTTAATAATCATGGTTTATTCCTTCAACTATGGGTATCAGATTATATAAACATCTGAAAAGATCCTACTCTCTATTGGGGGAGACAAAACAAATTTTCAAAAACGTTAAAAAAATGATAAATACAATTAAAGTGCTTTCGGTGTTGGGGCAGGGGCAGAAATGACTTTCAGCGGAAGAGAATCTGTTAAGACTTTAAGGAGAAAGAATTTAAGCTAGCTAGGCTTTGAAAAGATGGGCTAGTTTCTTCATTTGAAGACAGGATTGGGGAAAAGTAATAGTAAAAGTCCAAAGGTAAGAAAAAAATTTAAAAATCATATAACCAGACAAAGGCTGCATCCCCTCCCCACAAAAAACCATTTGCTTATTCTGGGAGATACTACAGCTGTATGAATGCTGATGGGAAGGATCCAGTAAAGAGGGAGTTTTAGGATACAAGTGAGACACAGGATAACCAAAAGATCAAGGTTCCTGAGAATTGACATAATAAGATGCAGAGCACTAAAATCAGACAGAAGAAGCAATTGGATACACATGCTCAAGTTCTACCAAATCAGAGGTGAAGGGTTGGTGGTATATTGAAGAAAGGGATGAGAACGACAGTCCCTGGAAAAAGACAAGACCTAACAAAGAAAAAGGGCCAGTTAATGAGATAAGGTTTTGATGAAATTCAAGAACTAAGACTTCTGTTTAACACAATTTAACTGATTGAAACATCTGTTTGCCCTCAAATTCCCTCCAAAATCAGAGTAAAAAGATTTTTTTTCCCCAAGGATGAGGGAACCCACAAGGACAGAAAATGGAAACACGAATGATATTAACAAAACTGTGAAAAGGAGAAAGCTGCTGGGTGAGTGTTAACTCTCAGAGAAGGTCTGAGAAAGCTGAAATTGCCTGGTAGCAGGGAGGGGGAAGGGATAAGAATGGGGGAAGCCAAGAGGCAAACTAATTCCAGCCAAGAGGCAAACTAATTCCAAAATCCCAGTAAGGCTCAAGAATTAGAAGTACTGAGATACACCTGAAGACAGATGCACAGATAGGACAAATAACAAAGGAATGGCTTCAAAATCTGTGTAAGCGGTTTAGTTTCCTAGATTTTCTCCCTGACTCTGAGGGGCCAGGCTACTATACTATCCTCCCACCATCACAGAAAACTCAAGGTTTACTTTGCAGAGACTGAAGTAGAGGGACTCTGGACTCTTGGACAACAGACTCACCTAAGGACAGGAGTATCATACTGAAAACAGATTAAATAAACTAAAGTCTACATACTTAGCGTTTAGATTCATCCTCCAGTTCATTCTCCTACCTGCCACTGGCAGCCTAGTTCATAACCTCCAGGCAGAAGACTAGAGAACTCTCAGGGTAAAAGTGGTCCAAGAAAAAAGACCAACAATGAGAGAGAAGAGATGAAGTTTCCCCTCTCAATTATCTGTCAAATGAGGGAGTAATTCAAGAAAAGATCATGGGATCCAGGATTCAGCACATCCAATACAAGAAAGAAAAAGGAATTCCCTAGGACAGTGAGATGCCAGAATAATTATGCAAGAGACCTGGAGAACAACCAGGCCAGATTGAAGCAGGGAGATAGAGGGCTCTCGGGAGAGGTTTCCTTCCACCAAAAAAGGAAACAGATTACCAGTGTGAACACACTAAGAGGATATTTACACTTACTAACAGAGAGTTTGGGATGAATTACTGTAGATATATAGAAAATAAGGCAAACGTGAAAAAAAGAAAAAGGTAATGATCACCACCAAAAAAAAAAAGTTGCACAAAAAAGAAATTATCATGGTATACACACTTCATGATTCACAATGTGTAATGATTTAACCAGAAATGTGGTATACCTATGTTAACCAAAAATGTGGTATACCACAGGTATACCTATGAGTGATGGGGTGTTAGGAAGCAGAGGAAGCCTAAATCCTCATCTTTCATAGGAGAAACTATGAAACTGCTCTTTTTTCTTCCTAAATCTTGTAAAACTATTCCCATTTTATAACTTTAGAAAGTTTTTAAAGTTTGGCTTAAATCTTTAAAATTTTAACAGTAACTTTTATTACTAAATTAACAATAAATTAATAAGTTTTTTATTTTGATAAAATTAAAATTATGTAAGATTTCAAAAAAGTAAAAACTATTACATGACGTTACTTGAGATTCCTGAGCCAGCAAACTAGAAGAATTTCAGTTGGTTGTGTGATCGGAGCTCAATGCGTGCGTTAGTGATTTAGGGGAGGTTGGTGACTTTTTAGCAATGACAAGATCCAAGATGTGACTGTGTGACCAGGTGGCTTAGAAAAAAGTAAAGGAATTAAGAAGCCAAAGTGTTAGCTGAATTGTCAATCCAGATGCTGAAGTTGCCTAAAAATTATGATGTGTGACTGTACTATTTTCCAGGTCCACTTTTCCACTCTTCTCTACCATGTTTTCTGCCCCAGTATGCTGACCTCTATGGAACAGATCAACAGGTTCCTGAGTCCCCTAGCTTAGGGTTAGGTTTGCCCAATGGGGAATTCCAGGAGGAAGTTAGGAGAATAAGGTGTAGATATTTATTCCTCCAGCTTCCTCCCTGCAGAATCACCTCATGCTGGCTATGTCCCTTCAACTGAAAACTATAATTCCTCTCAAGGCAGCCAACTCCATACTTCTCCTGAGAGTCCAAGAAGTAACCACTCTCTCTCTTACCTCTTCTGGCTGTTAACAGCTTAGGGCTGTTAACAGTTTGGCTACAGGGTACTACACTATCTTTTGTGGTACCCCATTATATCCACATCTTTATAAACAGTACCTTTATAAAACAAACGCTCCTCAAATTAGCCTATTTCAAGTGTGCCATCTGTTCCTGTTGGGACCTGACTGTAAATAGTGATAATAGTGATGATGGTGATGATGTAAGGCTGTAACAGAGACTAGTGGAAACTAAGTGACTAATATTTAAATAACAATTACTAACATATTTTGAGTTCTAGGTTCCAAGAACTTTGTTAAGCTCTTTGTAGGTATTAACTCGTTTAAACATCACAAGCAAAGATGTTTTTGTGCCAAGCAAATATTTTTTTGGTCTGGTTCATTTCCATATACCAACACCTAGCAGTTGCTGGTACATGGTAAGCACTAAAATACTGATTTAAAATACATACAGCAATAAGCAGGTTTAGTAGGGAAGGCTGACTTTTGGTATGGTGTAGCATTTCTCCTATTTTTACTTTGAAAACTTTAAGATAAGGGACGTGTGGCTCCCCAGATCACAAAAACTAACTAAACACTAAGACAGACCACATATGAATGATTTTCCTGTGTAGCCTACAGTGAGTCTTATTCCTTTCTCTTCCCATGAGGTCACCCAGGACTTGGGTTCCCGATTTTTTTTTTAAGTGTAATATTCAAAGTTGCAAATTTTAAAATACTTATTATGCACTCACAGCCTAGGAGCTGATTCAAAAGGGCAGAGCATCTTTAAGAACTAGTTATGAGTTTAAAAAAAGAAATGGAAGGGGAGGGAGCAAAATTTAAAACATACTTAGGCATATAAAATGCAAAAATAAAAAAGGTAAAGTCAGCAATATGACCAAGTACACATTATCACACTGAATTAAAGCACTGCAAGGGTAAGTAGGAAAATTAGAGGAGGAAATATAATACACGAGATTCAAAGAACGCAGAAATACAATAAGTATAATAGGTTGCAATTAACCCCCTCATTGGATGCTGACACAATTATCTGTAATAATCAAGGCAGCTACGATACCCGTATCTTATAAAGAAGCTAAAAATCAGGGGAAAGAGAAGGTTAGAAAACCAATATGCTGCAAAATGAGAACTGCAAAGATTTTCTGAAACGAGAATTGATTTTTTTTTCTTTACGTTATGTTGCACTCCAAAACACGGGGAAAACTCACGTGTACAAGGATCTAGAAACCTGAGAAGTTTCGAGAATAATGTACTCAAACTAGAGTGAAAAGCAGCAAGAAACAGTGAGATGTAAGGCTATGAGTGGGAAGGAATTGCCGGAGTAACACCTGGACACCGAAGAGAGACGGATAAAACATCCTTAAGTGGAAGACAGAGAAAGACTGGGATTGGATTTGGTTGAAGAAAGACAAAACGGAAAAGCAAGGCCTAAGAAACAAGTAGTAGCAAGGGTGAAACTTAGAGGACCAGATCGAAGCTACGAGCGAGAAGTACAGGACCTACAAACCAGATTCTACGGGGTGGGGAAAGGGCCACTTCGCGACCGGCCAGCTGCAACTAGTTTCCGAAAAGCCGCGTAGATGTAGCTTCGCAGCCCCACCCCGCGGCAGCAGCTCCTCCCCAAGGAGGACCTAAGGAGGCCAACGGCCGGGCGCCGGCTCCAGCCGAGGTCCCACCCCGCCCTTGCCCCGCGGCGCAGAATGGCCTCTCTCGGCCCCTCACCGAACGCTGCAACTCCCCAAGCCAAAACGAGGCGCGCTCCTTTCCGCTGGGATCTGGGTCGTGGTAGAGCGCCTGCACTGCCTGGTACACGAGCTGCAATGTCGGCTTTGCTCCTTCCATGGTGGTAGCGGTGGTGGCGGCAGCGATGGCTCTGGTGTTTTCTCCCGAGGATTCTCTGGCTGCTCCGCCTTCGCGCTTCCTCACTTTGTCGGCCACGGCCGCTCCCTGACTGGCGCCATCTCCTCTTTGGCCGTTACCAGGGCAGAGGGGTTCCCTGTTGAAGTTACCCCCTCGGAAACAGAGGTTAGATCGTATTCAAGTTCCTGGTTGTTTTTCCGATCTTACCACTAGACTCTAGACTTCTGAGTCTACACGCCGGTGCTCGCCTCTTGACCCGTTGACTTGCCCTCAGAAAGCTGTCCCAGCCCGACACAGACCATGCAGCATACCTCAGCAGCCTTTACCCGGACCGGAAGCGGCAGCACCAAAACCTTTGGCACACTTCCGCCTGGTGCGGCGTAAACTGCTTCCTTCCCTGCACGCCTCCTCTTGTCTCGCCTCCCCCTCCCGGAAGTGACCCTACCGGGCCGGGAGAAGGAAAGAAGTGGTTCTCTACCACCTTGCGTCGGACTGAAGCCTTAGGACCCTCGTGGCTCCCACACCTGTGCAGCTCTCCTCTCCTTGGCAATGGATCCGAGGTCTTTCCTCCTCCTTCCGACTTATCCGTTCCTCTACATAGAGTCCTTTTGGACCCCCGTGGACAAGGTGCATCAGTTCAACCATCTGTGGAGTGTCCACTGTATTGCAAATTCAAAGATGATTTAAGACAAGATTTGTACGCAGACCCTAATGGAGGAGACAGACACGTAATCAAATAACTGTTGTACAAACCTGAAAAATGTGCCACTGAAATAAATACAAAATGCCTAGAATCCCCTTTCCGCTAAATTCTGACACCCAAAAAGGTATTTCATTCTATTGCCCAGGACGCTCTGACTCCAGAGTATTTGCACAAACACACTGAATTGTGTTTTTGTGTGTGCTTTTCTTTCCGAATCAAACATCGATGGTATAACAATTCTCAATTCACAAAAGAAAATATAAATCTTGGAATCTGTACTATGGAGAAAATTTCCAAACATTGCTGCTTCTCCTTTGCAATAATAAGTAACTACTGTAAGGTCGGATCTTAACAAACGGCACCGCGAAAACAGGAAAGCTTCAAGTGAGCTTTATTAGGGAGCGCTCCCGGGCGAGGTTCACTGATCCGAGAGAAAGGGGCCAGAGAAGTCGCACCCGGGCGAGGGTTGGGCAAGATTTTATAGGGGAAGAAGGGAAAGGGGTGTGGTGAATCTGGGAGGGCGCAGGGTATTCCTTATTTGATGGTCTTTTCTGGTATCCTGGGGGACAGTTAGTCCCGCCCCTTGAAAGGCGGGAAGGCTGGGCTGGGTTCAAAGTCCCCAGGTTATTTCCTGGAACTGGGTGATCCGGAGAGTTTCGGTCTGATGCAACCTGTGAATCTGATTGTGTTCCCCTGCCTCGGGCCAGTTGTCCTTACAACTACTACTGGGACTTTCCTGGTGGCACAGTGGTTAAGAATCTGCCTGCCAATGCAGGAGACACGGGTTCCATCCCTGGTCCGGGAAGATCCCATGTGCTGCCGAGCAACTAAGCCCATGTGCCACAGCTACTGAGCCTGCGCTCTAGAGCCGTGAGCCACAACCACTGAAGCCCACGCGCCTAGAGCCCGTGCTCCGCAACAAGAGAAGCCACCACAATGAGAAGCCCGTGCAATGCAACGAAGAGTAGCTCCCGCTCACTGCAACTAGAGAAAGCCCACGTGCAGCAAGAAAGACCCAATGCAGCCAAAAATTAATTAATTAATTAACTGCCACCGTTTGATGAATGCTTACAATGTGTAAAGTACTGTAGTTATGAGGTCTTATTTAATCCTTTTAACAATTATACAAAGTAAATCCCCATTTTAAGGAATAAGAAATAGGTAATCTGCCCAAGGTTACACATTTCTTAAATGAAAATCAGGATTTGAATCCAAATGTTTTGCTCCAAAGCCTGTTAAGTTGTACAATCCCTATCATCCTGTATATTAATTTGTTTCTGAATTGTTATTGTCAAAAGATTTTAACTACCAATATCACAATGAAAACAGTGTTACTGTACACAATTGATATAATTTCTGACAAAAGGAAAAAACCTTGATATTTTGGTTGCCTAATTCATCCATTCATTAAAAATTTAGTAAGACCACCTTGGTCTCTGCCCTCATGGAGTTTACAGACCAAATGCAAAGAAAGACAAGTAACTCAGTTTAAAAGGTCTATGAATATCCACAAGCAAAAGAATGATGTTGGACCTACCTTGCACCATATACCAAAAATAAAAAAGAACCTAAATGTAAGGCTAAAAGTATGAAACTCTTACAAGAGAACAGGAGTGTATCTTCATGACCTTGGATTAGACAATGGTTTCTTAGATATGGCACCAAAAGCACAATTAACAAAAGGGAAAATAGATAGTCCAATTTATCTATTTTAGTTCATTTGTTTAGTTAGTCAAAACTAAAAACTTGTGTGTGTCAAAGAACACTATTAAGAAAGTGAAATGACAACCCACAAAATGAGAGAAAATGTTTGCAAATCAAATATCTGATAAGGGATCAGTATCCAGAACATATAAAGAACTCAGAATTCAACAATGAAAAGACAAGATAGGGGTTGGTCACTTGAAAGACTAAGCGTGTGATTAGAGAGTTGCAAATTTGGACCAGATTAAGTGAAATCACTTAACACTGATATAATCACCTGTGCCTAGTAATGAAACCCTGATCAAAACTCTGGACATTGAAGCTCAGTAGAGCTTTCTGGTTGATGAACAGGTTAATATGCCAGATGGGTGATATACCCTGACTCCACCAAGAGAGGGCATGGGAGTTCTGTCTTCTTCCCAGACCTCCTGCTATGTATAGCCTTTTAAATAAATCTTTAATTATACGTGTAGCACTTAACTGAGTTCTGTGAGTTGTTCTAGCAGATTATCAAACCTGTGCGGGTAGTGGGAACCCCTGAATTTGTAGCCAGTTGGTCAGTAGTGCAGGTGGCCTGGGGACCCCTGAAGTAAGGCTGACATTTGATGTGAAGGCAGTTTTGAGGGGGACTGAGCTCTTAAGCCTGTGGAGTCTGATACTAACTCCAGGTAGTGTCAGAATTGACTTGTCCTTCACCCCACTGGTGTAGAAACAGAACAGGTAAGATGTTCACGAAGTCTGTAATTTAGTTTAACAGACATAAGCCCTGTCCCCCCAAAAATAGATGAAACAAATATGTTAACAATTATTAAATGTAGGAGACAGGTAATTGTGGTCACTATACCATTCTCTCTACTATGTTTGAACATTTCCAAATTAAAAAAAATTCAAACTGGAAAAAAATTATGTAAATTTTTATTTATGACATGAAAAGATGTCAGAAAATATTATTGGAAAAAGAAACAGGTTATGACTCAGCATGTGAAAATACTCATTGACATGAAATTATATCTATGTTTCTATATAGGTAGAGAGGGGTCTGGAAGGATTTTCAACAAAATGTTAACAAAGGTTATCTCCAGGGATGGGATTTTTTTTTTTTTTTCTTGCAGTACGCGGGCCTCTCACTGTTGTGGCCTCTCCCGTTGCGGAGCACAGGCTCCGGACGCGCAGGCTCAGAGGCCATGGCTCACGGGCCCGTGAGCCCCTCCGTGGCATGGGGGATCCTCCCAGACCGGGGCACGAACCCGTGTCCCCCTCATCGGCAGGTGGACTCTCAACCACTGCACCACCAGGAAAGCCCTGGGGGATGGGGTTTTGAGTGGTTTCTACTTTCTTTTTTGTCTGTGTTTCTTCATAACATCACCCCTTGACATATTCCATATTTTTATTATTTTTTGGCTACTCCCTCCATTAACGTGTAGACTCTAGGTCACTCTCATATCCCCAGTGCTTTGAATGGTGCCTGACATATGGCAGGGACACAATAAATATTTGTTAAATGCATTAATAAAGCTTCTATGATTTGAATTTTTCTTTATAATGATTATTTTCACTTTTAAAACAACACAGGTGTTTCTTTCCAAACAGTGACACTATAAACTTGAAGTCATAATTGTCAGGAGCCAGTGTGACTGAATCTTAGTGGCTGTTTGCCAAAAGGCTGCACAGCACAGACCTCTCCTGGCCCAACTTCAACCCATAGGGCACATATTCTATACCATATTCCTCCAGATGCACAACCTGAGACGGCCATAAACCCAGCATTGGACAAACCTCTTTCCTTCAATTAAACCCACATTCAGGGCTCACATGCTGAGGATATCACCTGCCTTTGTCTGGTTCTTCAGCTCAGAACTGCCCTCGGTCGTGGCCAGCTTTTCCCCCAGTTTCACTTGCAAAGCAAATTCAAACTGGTGAGAGGGGCTGGGAGAGTAGGATGGTGAATAGAGATCATGAATTTCTATGGAATACGGAGAGCACAAATTAACTGTCCACAGTCAAAAGGAGCCTTTAAAGTTTAAAGACGGATGTCCTGAGGGACAGTTCTGATAAACGGGGATGGGAAAACAGAATAGGTTCGAATTTTTCTGAACATTAACAAAATGAAATTCATTTCAGAAAAATAAAAAAAATACTGTACAGAGAACCCAGGGGCAATGGTAGAGAAAAAAGATACACAGTTCAGTAAAGGTCCAAGCTGCCCCGATTCCTTCTCCTTAATCCCTCACAAAGTCTTCCTTCACCCGTTGAACTCTTCTCTTTGGAAGCCAGACATAGAGGAGGGGAAAAGCAGCTTTCTCCCAACAAGATTAATTTCTATAAGTCATATTATATCCATAGGTTTTTGACTTTTAGTCCAGTTTTACCTCAGGGTATTAAGCAATACATTGGGGCTGGTATGATATGGGTCAAACTGTAACCCACCCAGGCTGACAGATTACACTTCCCTTACAAATGCAGAAGACTCCATTTGGCTGTAGGGAGAAAAAAGATAACTCTCTATTGTACAGCATGGTGGAAAGAGGGCTATCCTGAAAATTAGACCCCCTGGTGCCAGTCCCAGCACCACCACTTTATGGCCATATGACTCTAGCCAAGTAACTACCTTCATAAGCTGGAAAAAGGGGCATGATACCTGCCCATCCAACACACAAGGAGCACCAAGTAAGATCATGTGAAAGTGCTTTGGAATTGGCTCATTGTAAACAACTGTGAAGTAATTACCATTTTACAAAAATATGGAGTCAAACTGTCACTTCTGGTCTTATTGAGATACTTAGAAATCCCAAGTTTTTACCCCAAACCAACAGGCTTTTCAAATACGGGAGGAACGGTAGCTGAATGAGCTACCCAGGCTGTAAACAAGCCAAAGGCTTGGCTACTCCACCAGCCAAGCACCAGTAAACACTGTCACACCTGTCACAGCGCCTGCATCTCCCTGATTCCTGGGGTCAAAGTGTTTACCAGCTGGCTCTTGCTTCTGGAAGAATTAGATATTTAGATCCACCTTCCCTCCCACTCTACTCTTAGTAGGCACTGAGCACGCACATGCTCTGGTTCCATGCTGCTGGATCCAGACTCCAGGGCCTCTTTCCATGAACAAACCCAACGCCCTCATCATTGTTCTCCAGCCTTCTAGATCGCTCTACAGCCTCAGACATCCCAACATCCCTCTTCCCCCTGTGCCCCAATACTTCACCTCCCAAGACTTCAACTTCCACAGCTCAGCCCTCCCTGATGTCACTTTGATTCTCAATGGTGCCTATCAACACAGCTGCATATTAAAATCACCTGGGCGGAGGGAGGGGGAACTTCCCTGATGGT